TCACATAGTAAACAGAAAAATATTTTTCTATATTTTTTTCTTTTATAAAAAAATGTAAAAAAAATATTTTTAAATTTACATGGACAATGAGGAAGTTGTGTTTTGTTTTTATTATTTTAATTACAATATGCAATTAGTTTCTTATATAACTGCATATATTTAAAAAAAAGAAGTTGGTAAATTTTCAACAAAAAAATATTTATATTTTGTAAAATAAATTTTACCATTTCAGATGTAGTTTGAAGTAGTCTTCAGTTAGCCTTAAACTTAGTCTTAGGCGGCTGATGTTCCAAAACTTTAACAATTTTCTGGTTTCATTTAAATTCATGACGAATTACCGTTTTCCCGAGAGCAATATAAAATCCCACCTCTTAATCGACTAAAAAATTGGAGGTAAATATCAATATTTTTACTCAAATTTTGGATGAATTATTTATAATTATCCTATGGTCCGATTGACAGTTTTTGTCGAAAAGCTCTAAACGTCGAAAATGTCAAATCTCATCATAGGTATAAATTTTTAAACGATACCTATATTTCCAATATCAGGGTAAAAATAACTACCTTTGGAAAAAAAAACTTGAAAAAAAAAAAACGAAGAGTTTTTATTAATATAGTGTTGTTCCAATTACCAACAGCATTGAGGTTTTTAGCGCGAGGATCTTATAAGACCAGTGTCGGAAATGATTTCAATATTTCCAAATTATTTGGCTGTTGTTATTTTCATGGTCAAATATCAAATTCAATATCGTCAATATTTTTTACGGCGACAGATATTCTCTAAAAACGACTTCACGTCGATTGTTGTATCGACAATGATAATAGCAATCATTCATCGCTATCGACAAAAAAACGACCTAATACTGTTATTGACGCCCCGACTGCATTTTGCGACGACGAAGACGACAACGGTAAGGCCGAATATCCCAAGTTGGTGGATAAACGCTTAGTTCATACCACTGAAACCTCGCTGGGTCATAGTTTCCTCGAGTACATTTTCCAAAACTGGCAAAGGAACATCAGAGAGCATAACCCCTGAGGCTGGATTTTTGTGCTATGAAAATATGAAATGACAAGTATTTTCTTTTTTGGCGGGTCTTCTCAATATCTGACATGATCTGTTACAAATTCCAATACTTTCATTTAGAATGGTTAAACTTCTTCAAACTACAAACGGAAATGTTAAAAAGTTGCTCTTTCTACGGCAATTATTTCACAAAACTTTTGTTTTATTACAATGGTGTATAAATATATTAATTTTGTTGTTGTTGTTTTTTCTTATTTTGCTTAGGAAATTTTAAAAATATTTATAATTTGTTGTTTTCCTATATAATTTACACTTTTCTAAACACTTTGGGCATTTTTTAAATGTTTTGCCAGTTCTTTCTTTTATTTTATTATTTTTTTTGTGTGTATTTTGGTTTTTTTTCTTTTATTGTTTGCTACATTCAACACAAGTCCGTTTTTATAGCCAGATATTGTATTTGTTATAGTAATCAAAGAGGAAATAAAGTTTTGAGGGAAATTTTGTGATTTTGAAATTTACAACACAAATAGTGAGGTTAGGTTATGTTCTTTTCTTTTTCGGAAATTGCAATTGTTGTTGGTTGTGTTTTTTAATAAAATTATAGTGGAGGGGTTGTAATAATGATTTATCTATGTTTGGTTTATGATTTTCACAAAATATTTCATAAATCGTAGTTTTTTTCATTAAGATTGGCTTAACATTTTATGTGTTGTATCTTTTTCATCAGTTTTTTTTAACTACCAAATAAACTTGTTTGGTTGTTGTTTTGTAAATTTGTTTAAATGGTAAAATTATAGTAGTTACTTACATAAATACTTTTACTACTATAATTTAATTTCTCATCTTCATTGTATATATTTGCAGATATATTTGTTGATCTGTTATGTTGCAAGAAAAGAAAAAGCCCCTGGAAGTGTAAAAGTCCAGGGATTTTCTTATACTTTACTTCTTAATGATGATGACTGTAGTATTATTATTTATCATGATTTGTATTATAGTTTTTGGGTTAATAAATCTATTACTGTTCCTAATTTACATTACATTTGTAGGTTTTCTCTTGATAATATTTTCTTTTCTTTTTTCATTACAAACAAAATAAAGCGAAAGATAATTAAGAAATACATTTTTAATTTTAGAAATTATTAAACAAACAAATAGAACGACGTTATTATTATTTCAAATAAAATATATATATTATGTACATTTAATATACACATAACAAAAAAAAGAAACTAAACAAAATTACATTATAGGGGTTTGAGAGTGGGAAAAAATCATAACAAAACAGAAAAATAATAGGCCAAGAACAAAAAGAATAGTAATAATAATAAAAAGACGTTTTAATTTTAGAAAATATAGTATTTTTTAAGTGATTCCTAAATAGTTTTTTTTAAGATTATATTTAATTCTGTTAATTAATAATAAATTTTATCAGAAAAAGAAATAAAATTAAATAAACAAAAAAAAAAACAGCATAAAAGGACGATGAACAACAATGCCAATTTAAAAAGAAATATAAACAAATATTTTACAATAAACACATATTCCTTTTAACAAAATCCGAAAAAAACACAAATTCTGCTAAAAGAATAGTTGTATTATATAAATTCATCGTACCTTTATCGAGAAACAGAGCGAAAAAGTATACTTTCTCCTTGGCGGGCAGATAAGAGTAAAATCAACAACATATGGGTATACCCTGAGCAACAACAAACCCAAGAGGGAGGGCGAAAGTCGAATGTATTATTGTATCAGCATAGACTACAGACAGCAGAATCCTCTCAAGGTTCACCACAAGGCCGTATTTAAAAAGCGGCTGTCGCAAGTGTTCCTCTAGGAAAGTCTGTCCGAGACTATTCTCCCCACCCCTAATAAGTTAGTATTGAAACTCATGAACATATATTTTATAGAAAATACCATTTTTTTGTCAGACCTGAGAGAGATACTAAACCCTTACTTATTGCAAGCAGATTATCATTTCTAAACAAATTGATACTCTATCTATAATCTCGGTACTATCACAGTGGTCACGCATCCTAAATTCTAAGCTCAGGGCGACAGAATGAAACTAAAATAGTTTTTGACTTGACATACTCCACGTCGGTGCCAAGCAGCTATGCGAAAATGTCTATTTTTTATTAGCATCGATCTCAAAAAGATTTCTCTTGGTATACAGGTCTACGGCATGGACAAGCGGTATTCAAAATAGAAAATGACATTATAGCCGTCGCTTAAACCACGTCAAGAAATATCTAAAAAGGTACTATAAATGGGGAGCCGGGCCCCCTGACCACGTCGGTGCCAAGCAGCTATGTGAAAATGTTTCTTTTTTATTAGCATCTATCTCGAAAAGATGTTTCTTGGTATACAGGTCTATGGCATGGACAAACGGTATTCAAAATACAAAATGACATCCCGTCCCGTAAACCACCTGAAATAGTTGATAAGCATAAAGAGAACATCACGAGAGTGAAGATTGACACCAATGTATTTTTGCAATAAAAAGCAAAACCTCCAAATGTGTGTCAGTGGAATTCCAAATCTCCAAATGCATTAAACCACAAGAGAAATCAAACACACATCTGATATAGTTGAGGCCTTGTCCGATTACGCCCGTGCTGGCTTAAGAGATAATATTCAATTTCGCTCATGGATTCAAAGACCAAATGGGATTGTTCAGAGCTAAATTTTAAATTATTTTAAATAAGAACTCCATTAGAATTTTTATACAAATTCTAATAAAATTTGCCTATAATTATTTTAAAATTTCCTCTCCGAACACTTCAACATTGGCCACAAAGTTGTTGAAAAAAAAAGAAAAAAACTAAAATAAATTTTCAAAAGAAAATAACTAAACTTGTTTTAGATATATTGGTTTGTTTTTTTTTTTTCTCATTTATCCTTTATTATTATTTAGGATGATGTTAAAATTTTTTATTTTTGTGTTTCGCTTTGTTTAAATTTACATTTCTTGTTTCACGGGTGTTATGTGTTTTTGCTGGTGGTGGTGAAAACAAACAAGATTTGTTGTTTTGCGATATTTATATATATTTTTTTGCATTCAAGTCTAAACAAAAATGTTGATAATTGTTTTAACTCAAATGAATTTTAGATGTTTTTTTTTACATTTTCAATAGTTTTTTTGGGAGGGGCATAAAAAGAAGGCGAAATGGACACAAGATTTAAGAAAAAAAAAAAAAAACTAAGAAAAAAGAGAAAAAATAAATTAACAAATTTTGAAAATTTGCTAAATGTATAATAATAAACAAGTTGGTATATTTAAAAATAAAAAAAGATATCAGTAAATGAAATTTATACACTGAAAATCATATTTTTGTAAGCTAAGGTATTTCTCTGCAAATTTTCCTTTTTTTGGGGGGTGTTGGGTTTTTTGTTTTTGCTTTATACTGAGAAATTGTTGTTTTATAAACTACAAAGATTTTTAACATTTAAACAAAAACAAAAAATAAACAGAATAGTTTCAATATACATGGTGGAGAAAGGGGGTGAGCTAAGGATAAAAGGGGATGATGTATAATGAAATAAAGGTTTTCTTTTTTGAAGACAGGCGCATGAAAGAAATGGGGGATAGTGGTGTTGTAAACTTTTTTTGTAGCAATATTTTTTTTATAGTTTTTTTTTTTTTATTTTTTATTGTTTATCTAAACACACTGTTTGTTTTGAAATCTTTTTGGAAAATTGAATGTAAATGGGGATTATTGTCACAAGTGAGAGGGATAATGAGCAGGAGGAGTTTGGATTTATTCTGAATTTCAAACGGGAATATACATATATTTTTGCAAGTGTGTGTTCATTTTTTTTGTTAATTTTTTTAATATTTTTTTAAGGGGAATCTCAAAATTTTCTTCATTTTGTGTATTGGTTTCTTTGATTGAATTACATTTACATTTATTTTATAGTTTTGTTTTCCCTCTCAAACTTGTGCATTCATAACTTCTTCTTCTCTACTTCGTTTTTGTGGAAAATGGAATTTCACATTCATTTCATTTTTTTTTCTTTCTTTTGGAGTTTAGCGTGTAAGGGGCCGTGTCATCATGGTTACATGTTTCAATATTGAGGCATTTTTATCGATTAGACAAGAAAAGGTATTACCAAATGTGTTATCTTCCAACATGATACCTTCATCGTTTGTATCCTCATCGTATTGGGAGTTGGCGGTGGTCATTATATCTACTCCATCACTGCCATCTATGATAGTGGTTTTGTTTGCAGCGGCAGCCAATAGCATCATGGCTGCCGCAGCCGAATCCATAGAAGCCTGAGTGCCATTTGTGCTGGTAGTCCAATATTTGCAAGTGATAATGGTTTGCTTGGGAGTTGCCTCATTCTGGTTGGTGTGGCCAGTCAAAGGCATTTCGTTGGCTGCAATCATTTTCTCTTCGAATTTATAACGATTTAAATCGGTAATAGCATCATTGTTGTTATTGTTGCTATTGCTATTATGATTATTATTATTAGTGTGGAGACTGTGATTCTTGTAGAAATTCTGAGAAGCAGAATGGCGTCGCTTACGATTTGCTGCCAATTTCAATTTTGCGGCAGAACTATTTAAGAATTGTTGGACCCTTTTGTAGGCAGCTGAATTGTTTGTAGCCAATGTGGAAGATGCTGCTGATGATGGGGGTGTGGTATTATTGATATTTTGCAAGTTTTTCAAATTATTCTTTTCCACAAGACCTTGGCTTAGTTCAATATTCTCCTCTTCTTTCACTTCATGCTCAATGTTGTTACCTTCAACGGCACTAGTTTTGATTTCTTCATTTCCAGCTAGGCTTGTGGTTACCACTTCGTCTCTTTGCCATATTTTAGCTAAATGGTCATGTTCCCAATTCAATTTGTCTACATACAAATCCTCTTCGTTAAGAGAACCGCCAACTTGGCGCAATAGTTTCATGGGTTTAATGGCAACAAATTTCGAATTTTCTTTCTCCACATTTTCACTGGCATCATGTTGCCAAATATTGTGTAATGCTTGTGTTTGTTGATGGTTACCAACACCACCGCCACCAAAGTGCCAAGAGTTCGAATTATCCACAGCATCATCATCCACTGTCATTGGCCAATCATTATTGGCAGTTGGGACATTTTCAGCAAATGTTTGCTCTTCAAATTTCGCTCTAATTAATTTACCCGTTTGCTCGGGCCTTAACAAATCTTCGATTAATTGATTGACTTTTAGCAACATAATGGCCTGAACAGCACTATCGTTGGGATTCTGCAAATTTGCCACATTATAATCTTGCTGCTTCATTCCATCACCCAGTGATGTTTGATGTTTGTCTGCCTCGCGACGACCACCATCCACATTAGCATCATCACCATCGTTAACATTCTCGGCGACCGAATCACTCTCTCCAATATACAAGTCTTGCATGTAACGCAAATCGCTCATTATTTCATCGGCTTCCAATTTTAATTCATCGCGCAGTAAGCGATTGGCCGGCAAAGACTTTCCATAATCACAACTATTACAAACGGCACACATGCCCCACAGGGTATGTGAAGAGTTATCCAATGAACTATCCTCATTTCTATCCATGTCGACCCTGGCAAAATTTGCCCTTGGAGGAAGACGGCGTTTGTGGCATTGCTTTTCCACTTCCTGCATAGACCAAAATTGGCTAAGTTGCTTAGCCGATGCAGCCGTGGCACGACAAAAGTCGACTTCATCACTTAGCGAGGCCTCCTGCACCCATGATTGTGTGCACTCCGAGCGTGTGGCTGCTGGTACCCATGCTTGTGCTAGGCGGCCAGAGCTCTGATGAAGAGCTGTTGTATTTAAACCTTGATGTTCAGCAGCCGCTTTAGCAGCTGCTGCCACCGCCTGGGTTACTGCAGCCATGATGGCCTCATTATTGGCCTGTCTGCTAAGACTCAACGAATTGTCGAGAGAGAACATGGACATTTCCATGGAGTCGATGCCCGCCATTTGATGTTGATTGGACATTTTGGCTGTCGCCAACTGGAAGTCAATTTCTTCCGTTTGGCAGGCTATTTCTCCCGTACGCTTCAACTTGAACTTCAATACAAACATTTCCCTATTTTCTGGCTTTTCCTTTGCCGCATGAACCCTTCCATCGGCCACTTGAGAAGAAGCAGTGGCTGAGAAATTCATTAAATTTGTATTGGACACCTCCTCATCGGCCAGATATATATCGTTTCTTGTGTATTCCAAATACTCATTGGAATCATAGCACAAATAGCCGCTGGCACTACGCTCAAACTCAACACAATCCAAAGCACTGCTTATGTCGAAAGTGTAGCCATCTACATAGGTCTCGATGGGATGAAAATGAGTACGTTCAGAAGTCAAAAGATTCTCTTCCTCGCCACCTCGAAAATAGTCACTGGCCATGTTGTGGGTAACCTGTTGCGATTGCAATGGCTTAGTTTGGGGTTGGATCACACTGCCGCTTGCCTTGATGCGGGCATAGGCGATAAAACCGCTGGTAGCCGCACAATGATTGGGTAGGGTAATTTCTGGCCCAGATGCAACATAAATGGCTGACTCAGGGACATCTTGAGTAATGCTGTCACAAACATCACTGCCATACATTTCGGTCAAGGACACGGGGTTGGAGGCACACCAGGATTTCAAATCCGGTTGAGTATTTTGACCATATATGGGAGCTTCCCAATTTGCACCAGTTGAAGTAATTATGGCTGCTGAATTATAGGCAGCCGCATATTTACTTGCCTCACCACAACTATCTATGACATCCCCAGATGTGCCGGTGGTAACGACATTAGAACGTAGACTATTATATGCTGGGCCAGCATTTATGCCCTCGGACCATTTCAAGTTGTTGTAGGGAGTAAAACCTAGTTTAGCACCATTTCCTCCCTCTAACTGGCTGTCATTGCCTTTATGATATATAACAGAGGCACAATCTAAGTCCCCCACACTCTCAGCAATCTAAAATTATGAAGGAGAAATTATTAAGGGTCTCAAATAATTAGATGGCGAAATTTTCCTACCTTTTCATTTTTATTTTTGGCAGCCATATCTATCTGACTTAACTTCTTGTTTGAATGCCAAACTTTGTACAGGAAACTCTCATCAGTTTCACTGGCAGCACCCACAGCATCAACACAATCTCCCGACGAAGACCAAATCGAATTCTGCAAGAAAAGATTTATGGACGGTGTGTGTGCACCGCCACCACCACCAACGCCCCCAACACCCAGAGAAGCACCAGCTTCATTAATGCGACGCATTGCACCCACCGACTTATCGAAATCATCCAAATTACTGGGCATAGAGTAGTAATCACTTGAATTAGCAATATCGGCGCCAGCGCCAGAACTAGCGCTACTGTCGTCTAAACGTTGTGTTTTAGTCGTTGTAATCATGGATGATGTGGTATTGGAGTGGGTGTTGTTGGGGAATTTTGCCACTTGATCGTAGGCCGTTTGAGGCGGTTGATTGTTGTAGTTAGACCAGAAATTCCATAGGTCCTGCTTAAAGGGAGCCAAAGCATTTAGTGATGTTGTGGCATAGAATGCCGACGAAATGCCAATCGGAGTGACATCTGTGCCAGTTTTGACAGCACCCTCAAAGACAGTTTGTTGTTGTGGTGGTGCTGCAGCTGGCTCTACATCTTTCCACAGAGCTTCAACGCTGCTATTGAATTTTGCCTTAAAATTGGCAAAATCCAAATGATCAACTGATTCAGAACTATCGTCCAAATATCTATCCTCGCCAGTATTGCAAACTAGGAAAGGTCTTTGCAAAGTTCCCTCACGTTGATACAAACGTCGGGCATTGATGACATTGTTGCCACTGGCACTGGACAGCTCTTCTATGGAGGCCAGGGTATTATCATCATCATAATCCTCATCGACATAATCGACACCATCGTCTGTCACCACTTCATAGTGTTGGCGATCATCTGAATCGTCACAACAAAATGAAATGTCAACGTAGCGTTTCATCAGTGGCCGCTCAATGCCGCTGAGCAGTTCATCACGTTTTGGAATCTCACTAATCATTTTGTATTCATTGCGTGCATCGGCATCCATGCTATCCGAGTTGCTGCGACTACGTTTGGTGGCTGCTGCCGTTCCTTTTTGACGTGCCAAAAACTCCTTAATCAGATCGGGACCCATTTCCCAGCAGCCTTTAAAATCCGTATCCCAAGCAGGCGAAGTGTTGCGGTGATGTGTTGATTTACCAGTGTTCGAGTTGGAGTTGCCTGTAGCCGTTGTTATGGGTTTGCGTATATTTGGAATTTGCTTGCCTTTAGACAAAGCTGAAGATAAAATTTAAATTAAATGAAATAAAAGAAAATCGATTTTGTTGTGGATACCTACCTTGATTTCGGCGACGCTTAGATTTCTTTTTTGCACTTGCCGCTGCTCCTAACGATGTTACTATTGCTCCTTGTTGTTGTTGTTGCTGTTGTTGTACGTCACCACACAAACTAGATCCGGAACGGCCAATGGCACTATCTCCAGTGAATTCTGCTTTTAATTGATCAACCCCACCTCCTGATTTCGGTTTCTTTTCAACGCTTTTACTATCGGCAATAGACGATTCACTTGATGCTGTCGTGCTGTTATTAGAATTATCAGCAGCAGTACGATTTTGATTTTCAGTAACAATTAGCGACGAACGTCCCACAATTGGCCAAGTTAAAGATTTTGCATTACGACGCCATATGCGAAACGAGTCTTCCATTTCCTTTGACAAGGCAGGGAAAGCGCGAAAATAACGCTTCTTGGGATCGTTTTCGTTATCGTTTAAAGCATTTTCGTTAGCATGTGGCCCGGAACGACGTGAATGGTGGGAATCACAGTGAGAAGCCGAGGAAATAAGGTGCTGTTGTGCTGATGCAGAAGATGACGAAGTGGCGGAAGAGGATGCCGAGGATGATGATAATGATTGATTATGATATAAATTGTGATGGTGTTGTTGTTGTTGTTGCTGCTGATGATGATGATTATTGTTAACGCCAGTAGCAGTAGTAGCTGAACTAGATAGTGAATCAATTTTCAATTGTGTATCGATTAGAAAACGTTCTTCATCATTTAATTCTTGGCTACGTTTTTCGATGTCCTTTAATTTTTCACACAATTCATCAACAAGTCTTTCGATAGCAGCAGTCTAGACAAAGAAGAGAACCGAGAACATAATTATAACAACGAATATAAATAATCGCTCTAGACTTACCTCCTGTTCATTTGAAACAATCTCCCTTAAACACTGTACGGCATTTAGTTTCTTCAATGTCTCTGTATCGGAGGGCAAGTGGAAACGTTTGCTGTGGCCTCCTTTGCGATTGGCAAAAAATGCCTAAATTTGGAAAAATGAAAAAAATACGTTGTTAGAAATTGTCCTTAGATTTGTAAAACAAAAAAAATTGAAAACGTAAACAAATAATAAATACATGTATATACTAAAATATCGGAACATTAGAATTTTGAATTACTTCCAAGTTGCTGAATTCAATTGGATCGTTCACTTGAACTGACGATTGTAAGAGAGATAGTAGTAGTCTTGTATAGATCTGGGGTGATTCAACGCCTAATTGCTCCAAACGTGATACTAACCAATCAGAGATGGCGTTCACGGCACGAGGCGATACTAGTTGAGGATACTTCATACCTGTGTGAATGTGTTTTATTTTTTATGTTTTCATTTGTTTTTCGAAGATCATTTGTAAATGAAAAGAGCAGAAAGACACATAATAAGAAAAGTAAATCATTTTATTTCACATGTTGTCAATCAAAAAGGGAGTAAAAGGGTGTACAGAGGCGGGGAACATATGGTGTTGTAGTGTGTGATAAATTTTGGGAAACAAAGAGAAACAGAGATTTATTCTTTATATCGATCGAATCAACGTTACATAGAAAATGACGTTCAAAACAAAGTCGTAACAATGTTTACATAACAAATAGACCTATTGCTGTTTATTTTTAGTGAGAAGATGTCAGATTTTGAATAAAAGATTAGGTAAAAGGATGGATATGTCCATTGTCAAATAAATTGTTTCAATGCATTTGAAATTAAACCTCGAAATATGTTCCATTCCATTATTAGGGAATATAGATAGCAGAACTGTGGATGAACCCTCATCTATATAATGTATCAAAATGAGGAAAACGAACGTCTTAGGTTGCTCTACTAAATGCGATTCTCAATTTACAATCCCTGTATGGTTTACCCAAACATCGAGAAGTTCTTTGAGGCTCTGTGAATTTATATGAATGGATATGCCTGCATCCTGCAGAAGGCCTGTCTCCAAATAAAAGTTTAAAACGAATACCGCGTTTGACTAGAGGTGACACAGATGACTCAAATATAGACAACGCAACAGGCCAACTTTGTGTATGCTAAAGACTCTGGTATTGGTAAGAGAACAGACAGACCATAAAGGTCGGGCCTTCACGATCAATGTAGATAGAAGCCCTTAAGGCAACGAAGTTATTCTCCATATAATCTAGCACATTTAGCAGGTTTATAACTGCTTTGTAGGATAGTGAAAGGGTCATTAAATTGCGTAGGATACCAGAAAACTCCAATATCATGGGTAATGGAGTCAATGGAGGGTCAGGAGCCAGCACAACGGGGCTCTCTATCTACCGAGTAGAAAAAGGAGGATTGTGTTAAACCACCGCTCTGCTGTTATGCCAATAAAAATGATCTGGTGTGGTCAAGCTAGTATAATCGGTTCACTCCTTCTGGTATCTCCATGAAGCTCATAAAACGCCAAATTAACATCCGATTCCATTTAGACTTGGTACATCCCAATATTTCTATCAACACAAGGTCTGTTATAAAGATGGCGGAGATCAGACCATTCCTAGTGGTACCTCTCACACAAAGAGTCCAAGTTTTTAATAACCAAAACGATCATAAAATCCGAAATAAGTACCCGGTTCTCTTCATATTTCACGCATCCCATTATTTCTACGAATACAATATCTGCTATGAAGATTGGATGTATCGGTCCACTGCTTCTGGTACCTCCCCCCCACAAACAGTCAACATTTTGAATATCCATGAAGCTCATAAAACGCGAAATTAAGATCCGATTCTATTCAGACTTGGTTCGTCTTAATATTTCTATCAACACAAGATCTGTTGTAAATGAGTTAGAGATCGGACAATTTCTTTTGGTACCTCCCCAATATAGGGTTCAAGATTTTGAAAAACAAAACGCTCAAAGATAGCGAAATAAGCATTCAACTCTTTTCAAATTTCGAACATCCAAATAATTTTGCTAACGTAAGATCTCTTGTGAAGATGATATATATTTGCCAACCCCTTCTATGGTACCCACAAAGGGTCACAATTTCCAATCTGATGCATTTCCAATTCCCACAGTCTGGCAACCTATCTTCCGTAGTATTTATCATAACTTTGATATATGTTTTGAGAGACATTGCCATCATAACGTTGATTCAATACGAAACTAAAGAAAACATCATCCGATCGGCCAAAAAAATTGAAAACATAAAAATGAGTAATTAATAACAAGAAACAAAAACAAATCGATACACTTGAATACAACAAACATTTAGGTCCTTTGCAATTTATTCAAATTAAAATCCAGAAATATTTAACGAAAAACAAACCATCCTATCAACTCTTAACAATAGCCAAAGATCAAATGAAAGCAAAAACTTAGTTAAAACTTAATACAAAAAAACAATGTTACAATTTTGAAAACAAATTTTGCTTTAATAATATTTGATATCGGATTAGAAAAGCAAAATTCCAATTGTATTTTTGCTGGTTATTAGATTTTTAACATTACACGATTTTACAACCAAAAGTTCCAGACAAGTGGCAGTTAAAAAAATTAAGTTCACATATAAGGTCAGACAAGAAAACCACTTTTTGCGATGTGCAGAACATCCCTTTTGAGACTGGACTTAGAGGCAGAACCCGATTGAGTAGTCAGATCGAACACAGCAGTATGAGCTGCTACAACAACAACTTTTGACAAAAATTTGACAATAAATGGCCTGTTCCAGAACCAGCAAGAATCTACTAGTTTTACGATTTCTTAAAGGGAAAATCGGTTATCGTAGTTAAAAGTTTTACATTCTCGCAGTTCTGGAACAGCGCAATACTTAGTAGTTTTTGCACTATTGTGATTTGAATTTCAAATAATAATTACTTGTTTTTGACAGCAAACTTGGCTGCCAAATGAGCCTACTAGGCGAACTTATGTAGACCAAATAACATTTAAAATAAAAACATCAAAGAAAATTGTGTTTTTCTAAATTTACAATATTTTAAAAAAAGTTTTCAACGAATCCTGTCACTTGAATGGTAAAATAATTTTGGTTGCACCGTGTAATGCAATAATTTGGAAAAACAACAAATGGCAAAGGGGACCTTAAGTGTTTTTTTAGATTAGAATCACATTTTTAAGGATTAAATACAGAGGGAGATAAGTAAAAGACAAATAAGGATGTTGTGTTAGGAGGGGAGAACATAGGCGGATTGTAGTAACAATATTTACTATGGGCCAGCCAAAACTTACCGTTTTAGTTTAACTAGAATTGATGATATCGGGTGGTTGGTATTTTTCTACTGGTGCTGATGATATATAGATAGTAATAATGACTTTTTGTTACTTCTTCTTCTTCCACTTCTAACTAATACCACAAAAAAAGAACAATTAGCTGGTTGCATGCAACAAAATCATATGTTCCTGACGTTGCCACTCATTCGTCGTTGCAAGGTCATCTATGATTTTTTTTGTTCCTTCAACAAATTGTAGTTCTTTGGCGAGTGAAAAGTAGTAAAGGTGTACGATGAGGGCGGTGATGTGGGGGCGTTTTCTTTCTTCTTCCTTAATGATGTGAGTGTGTGTGGGTGGGGGGAGGATGTTATATTTATTAAATTGCACTAGATTTTCTTTTATTTCCTTTAAGGGGAGATTAATGGCTAATTTTTCTTTCTTTCTTTCTTTCCGCTTCTTCTGCGCTTTGCCTTTTCTTATTTGTTCGATGATCCACAATCCAGATGTAGAGGGATTTCTCCTTTATTTTTTAAAGAGTTTAAACTATATGTAGATGTAGTAGAGATGTTTTACACGTAGTTTTGGCTTTCAAATAAAACAAAACAAAAGAAAACTTTTACAGTTATATACAGTTTTACAGGATTGCGTTAATTCTGCTTCAAGGATGCTGTGGTTATTTGTTGTAATGTATTATTTTATATTTGATTTTTTTTGTTTCTTTATTTCCTCTTGTTTCCTCTTGGATACAATCGCTTTTTGATGTTGTTAATTTTCTTCTTCTTCTTCTTTTTGTTGTTGTTGTTTAATAGTATTCTTCTTTTATCGTTGAATGATGTTGTTCTTAATATTGTTGTTGTTGTTGTTGGCTTCTTATTGTTGATCTTGTTGAATGTTGTTGTGGACGCTGTTGTTAGCAACAATATCTGCAACACTTTGTGGAGCAACGGCAACACTTGTTGGCAGCAGGCGAGCTTTTGCCAAATGTAAAGCAGCAACACCAGCAGTCGGATTAGCCGATACAGTTACAGCTGCAGCAAAGCTGAACGATGGCCCAAAATCTATCGTTTCCATGTCGTTTAGCAAATCATTTTTCAAATTATGCGACAGCATTGTTCCTAGACATACAAAAGCAACAAATTGGCTTTTCTTCCCGAACGACTTTGAATATTCCTCTTGGATTGAATTGGATTTGCTGATGTGATTGTTGTTTGCCACCTGGTGCTGGGGTGTTGCCCAAAAACAAAAATAAAGATGGTGTTGTTGATTTTTAATTGAATTGCATTTGGAGAAATAAAAACTTGGGTTTGTTTCCCCTATCTGTTCTCAGGGGTTCTCAAGGGCCGGTTCAACAAAAAATTAGGGTTTCCAACAAAATAACAAATCAAGTGTAAATGAAACTTAGAACAAAAAACAAAAGTCTAAAGAAACAACAACATTTAACGTTATGTTTTTGTTGTGGTTGGCTGTTGTGTTTTGCTGTACATTGCTTGCTGGGAGTGTTGGCGGCAAACTGCTTTCTACAACTTCCTAGTTTTGTTGTACACCAATGTCTAGCTGACTGCTTCTTGGCTACTGCTGTTCAATTCTCAAGGTAAACCCCAAAAGAATAATTTATTTACTGCATGTGACTTTGGTGGTGTTTAGTTGAATTGGTTTCACAAATTTGTTGCCGGCTTTCAGGAAAAAACAAAAACCAATTATTGCTGTTGTTGTGTTGCTGTAGTTTTGTGTTGTATTTGCAAATTACTTGATGTTGTTGTTATGGGTTTTGCATTTGTTTAGAATCGTGTGTTGGTGTTTGTTAGTTAATAATTTCCATTTTCCATTAATTGTTGTTTGTTTTTTGCTTTTCTTAATTATCCATTTTTTGCTCGTGTTTTATTTTGTTTGTTTGTTTAACTCCTGAAGTTGTTTCCTTCTCTGGCTTTGATGTTGTAGTTGTTGTTGTTTTGTATCGCTTGTTGTATTCAGTATTGGATTAACTGAATTTCCCAAGAGTGTCTCTTCCAACTTCTATTTGATGGTTAATTCTTTTAGATTTCTGCAAATGAAAGAAGAAGAAAAAAGAAAATGAAGTTAATTAAATTGAACTTTTTGAAAATAGAAATGGGAAGATTTTAAGATTAGAAATTGAAGGATTTAAGAAAAATTGGATCGAAATTCTTTAATTTGGGAAGGGAAATAAAACTTTAAGCCAAATTAGTTTTGTTATGCAAACACATTAGAATTTGGACTTTTGGATCAAGAAAATATGAATTGGTGAAAATTGGCTACATAACAGGCATAATTGGCAGTCCATTGTTGTCTAAAGCTTAGGTCGTTTAGCAGGGTTAATCAAGAATCTAGATGTGTTTGGTCTTTGACTTTTCGGCAGTCTATTTACATAAAAAGGTAGTGAAATAACTGACTGACTGAGAGTCAACGTCCAGACGAAACGGTTAAAGCTAGAATCCTGAAATTTTGCACGAGGATCAGTCTTTGTGGGTAGGCGTGTGACAAAAATGGGTACGAAAATTTACTCAAAAGTAGAATATTTTATATTCCCAAAAGAAATGACCTTTAACAATTGCAATGAGAGTCACTGATGCAGTGCAGGATAGATGCACCAAAGGATTTTTGGAAATTCGAACCTTAAGGTTACGAAAAGTTCTTAAATGGTACTTAACTTCTAAAATGGTACCATTTTATGTTATGTGATCGAAAAGAGCTATATTTAGAAAACGAGTGCTAAGCTAAGTGTGGAAACTGTACTAAATGTATTAAATTTGGTACAATTAAGTTTTAGGGTGAACAGATGAGGCTAGAATTTGGACATTTTGTATTGGGCTCCTAGTTGGTGGTAGAGAGTTGTTTTTTTGGGGAAATGTGTACCACTAGTGCACGAAAAGTACTGAGCAGTCCTATATTTGGTTCAATTTGGCATTGGGTGAACAGATAGCGCTTGGAATCCTGAAATTTGGTATTAAGGTCGCTTTTCATGTGTATCGTGGGCATATACAGGGTTAGATGAAAAAACTGGAACCAACTGCTGTCATTTCTAAGCCACTTGACCGACAGCTGTAAAAATTATTCCAGTGACAGTGGCATTATATTGTTTACAAGCGTACAAAAGCATTTTGTTGAGAATTTTCCAGAAAAAAATTATTCCTGGCGGAATTAGAGCGTGATAGTGTGATTTATTTATATTTGGCCGGAAAACCACAAGTGGATATCGTTAGAGCACTCCAGCATTTAAATGTGAATAAATCTTTTGTGTCTCGTACCATCGCTCGTTACCGTGGGAAGTAAAGAAGCGACTTGATCGGAACCCGCGTCGCAGTGACCGAAAAATGGCTCGTGAGCTGAACATATCGCAATATTCCATTCGGCAAATATTGAAAAATGAGTTCGGGGTTAAGCCATTGAAATTCCAAAAAGTGCAAGAACCGCAACCGCACCGCAACAGAAAGAAAATAGACTTAAAAGAGCTAAAGAGTTGCTTCACTTGCTCTGAAAGTGGTGAACTGCCGAATTTGGTTTTCTCCGGTGAGAAAAAATTCGGTGTCCAGATGCGTGTAAACAAACAAAATGAACATGTGAACCATCGGTTTGCCACCAGAACTCAAGCGCCGGCCATGGTGATGGTGTGGGCCGCCATAACAGCCGATGGTCGCTCTCCGCTCGTATTAATCGACCGTGGCATCAGAATAAATGCCGAATATTATCGCGAAAATATTCTGGAGGGTGTATTAAAGCCTTGGGCACGCAAAAATTTCAGCCGCAGACCTTGGACATTCCAATAGGACTCAGCACCATCACACTCAGCACGCGCCACCCAAGAATGGTTGCAAAATGAGGTTCCTCGCTTAATTTCCAGCGCACAATGGCCACCAAAATCTTCGGATACCTATCCGTTGGACTATTGTGTCTGGAGTATTTTGGAAAGCAAGGTTGGCACTAAAAAATACCAAGGTGTCGGTCACCTCAAGCAAGCGCTTCGCCGGAAATGGGTCAAAATACCGCAGAGCAACATTCGGGCAGCGTGTGACGGTTTCATTGGCCGTTTGAATTCGAACAAATCTAAACTTATTCTAAAATTTGATGCCATTTCCGTATGTTTCCTTTCATTCAATAAAATTAAAAAAATGTAAAAATTATGGCGTTTGACTTTGTTGCAGTTTTTTATGTCACCCTGTATACTAGTTTGGGTTACCCTGAAAAATCTGGAAATTTCGATTGCCATGATATCATTTTCATTTCCCACAAGGTCTTACTTTTTTTTTTAATTGAAATGTGAAAACATTCTCAATGACGTAGGTAGTTATTATTACTTCTGTTGCCATTCCTAAAAATACCAACCCGAAACCATATGCAATTACCCATATTTGTGTGATAACCTATTTTTGTTTCTCTTATCAAAAAAAAAATAGAAGTTGACTTTGCAACATATCGAGAAAAAAATTCGAACTTGATACCAACACTTGAGAATACAATGCAATACCCAATACCGATACAGATACAGATACAATGCAATCTAATCTGTAAAGCAAACTATGGGCGTCATTATTGTTTGAAATTGAAAAAACCGAAAACGGAAAAAAATAAATGATCGACGTTAATTTATCAGCTTTTGTGGCAGGGCTTGTTGCTTTAATAAAAAACAAAAGCAAATATAAAATGTAAAACAACAACAACAGCAACATCATTAAAAATTATCATAACAATTTACAGCAACCACACAATGAGATTCTAATGTTTACAGAGCATGGCGATGATGTGAATGATGAGGATGACGGTGATGGCGAACGTCAAATGTAAACTAACATCATCGAAAACTTCAAATCGGCCTCTCTCCAAATTGCCGATTTCATTCAAAGGCCAAAGGTACTTCAAAACATTTTACTTTTGAGTTCAAATTCATTTTTTTGTTCATCATTATAATGGAAATGAATTGAAAATTAGGTTTTGAAAATAAATAAACGGAAGTAGGTAGACCTAACAAAGCGAAACGTTCAAACCGTTTAGTAAATCGAAACAAAATTGATGAATAATTTCAAAAATATTACATGGTACTTTTGTTTTGTGGGGCGGTGTGTTTTTTTTTTTAATGTTTTTAAAGGTGGTTTCGATGTTTATTATAATGAATGGGTTGTGGTATGCATGTAGTATTTTCGATATGGATGGTCAATTGGATAATTTCGACACTTGGGAAGTTTGAAATGAGATTCTGCGATCAGCTATGAACTTGAAATCGCTGATATCAGCCAATATGTGAGATGTACACGGGTAGGTGTAATCTGGCCCTTCAGTTCATTTGTGAAGAGTTTTGCCATTCTGATCATCTGTGAGGAATCTCCTATCAGTATTTCTGTGAAGACTCTCTGGCCAAGCTGTAAGGTCAGAGATTCTTCACAGAGAATTCTTCTATTTTTCAAAAAATGTAATAAATCATCCTCAGTCTATGGGGGCTTGTGTGGAGTACCTATTTTACGGTGCCCCCTGATTTTCGGTTTTTTTAATGTTCCAGCCACAACATCCAACTAAATGAGTTGTAATTACACATTTAGTGTTTCAAGCAAGTTTATTTGCACAAGATGTGTAGATAACAGCATATGCAGGACATACGGGAAAGACGATGAAACGTTGGAGTATATTCTCTGTCAATGCCCAGCGTTTCAGATGTTCAGAACTTGCTCTAATTTGGAAACTGTGATCCTCATTATATGGACTCACAGTAAGAAAAATTTTAAATATCGGTCCACATTTCAACATGACCCCATGTAGCATTAGCAAACGATTTTAAGTATTTTGGAGTTCCTGGATACGTTTTTGAGTTGTAGTGGTTATCATTAGTTACATATTTGGATATCTACCGATATCTTCGATAATTTAACATTAGTGTTTGCATACATCCAAATTTATTATAAATTAAATCATTTATTTTAAAATAATTTCTAAGAAAAAAAAAGAAATGAAATCACTTGACACAAATAGCTCAACACAAGTGTAACCGCAGATAAAAGATGATTTCATAAAATAAAATATTTTTAATACAACAAGCATCTTAGAGCATCCACATCATCGTTAGAAAATGTAAAACGTAAAACAGCATCCATCTTTGTTAATAAATCACACATCGTGATATGACGCATTTGTTGCATAACCTCAATTTTTATACCCTCAGCCATATGGCTAAAAAGGGTATATAGGCCATTTGATACGGCCAAAAACGTGTCTTATCGATATAACGGTTTTAGACCCTAGGTCTCTTTGGACCAAATCTATTTCAGGAAAGTTGGAGTCGATCGACCGTCTGTCTCTGCGTCTGCTTCCTGATGCGTACGATAACTCTCGAAGGCAGTATCCAATTTTGTCCAAACTTGATACATCGTAATATTATTATTAAACTTAGATCGAGTTCGGAGATGGACAATATCGGTCCACTCCTTATGGAACCTACCCCACAAAAGTTCGAAATTTTCCAAAAAAAAAAAAAAATATTTTGCTGAACAGAAAGAGAAGGGATAATCCGATTTTGTTCCAACTTTGCAAATCCTAATATTTGTATCAGAGCTAGGTCAGCTGCGAAAACGAACAATATCGGTCCACTTCATCAAGTAACACCCCACAAAGAGGGAAAAAAATTGAATAATTATAACTCTTATAAAATAGTCCGATTATCTTTAAATAATACACATCACAATATTCTTATAAGCCCAAGGTCTGGTGTTAAGATGGAATATATCGGTTTACTCCCTCTGGTACATCCCTCACAAAGGGTTAAAATTTGAATAAGCACGAAGTCCATAAAACGTGAAATTATGATCCGATTCCATTCTTCCTTTGGCACATCTCAATATTTCTACCATTCCTTCTGGCATCTCAAACACAAAAGGTCAACATTTCGAATAACCTAAACCTAAAATCCAAAAAAAAAAAAAAAAAAACATCCGGTTCTCTTCATATTTCACAAATCACAAAATTTCTACTAATACAAGATCTGCTGTGAAGATGGAATATTTCGGTTCACTACTTCTGGTACCTCCCCCATATAGAGTCAAA